GGATCTGCCCCTCAGGGGAGCATAGCAGCCTGTCACACCTGCCCTAAATAACAGCCATCAACCACACCTTTATACCATCCACATCCAATAGAAATTGAGGTTGCCTTTGCCCCTGCTGCCTGTTTTTTTGAGGTCCACAGTATCAGCTGGTTGATTGCCAGGAGCAGATGTCCCTCCTGAAGCACTCACTATGCAAGCAAATTCTCTTTTTCCCTAGCACCTCCTCCAGAATTAGGCTTTGCTAGTATCTCCAGCACTCTTCCTTGGATATTTACCCCCCTCCAAGTTTCTTAAAAGCATCAAGTTTTTCCACATCCTTCAATGACAATTAAGAAAGGGGTCACAAAATGGCGTCCTGTGAGGCATTTCAGAGGCATCAGGAAGAGGGGCTGCGTGGCCTCCATGGGGAGAGGCTGGTTCCAGCAGCCCCACCACAGGGCCCAGCACAGCCCCTCAGCAGCATCTCTGCATAAACAGATTTAAGAAAGGGCAAAACACCACTTGGCAACAAGGAGCGAGGTGGGGGGGAAACAGAGAAACACAGGGGGAGGAGGTTTATCTTGACCCAGGAGGTTTTTCATCTCATTTTCTTCCTCTGTCCTGTTGAGGCAGGAAGTGAGTGAGCAGCTAGGTGGGTGCCTGGCAGCCAGAGATAAGCAACCCACAAAGATTCACCTGCAAAAACTACTCTTAATCCAATCAAATGTACCAGAAACCTTAAGACAAACCCTGCTAGAGCTTAGCAGGCTCATGAACAAGGAGCAATAAATGAGGGTGCAATAGCTTTGCTTCTGCCTCTCGAAGTCATAAAATCTGTGGAAGTACCACAGTCCCTACAAATCCCTGAAAAATCACTTGGTCAGCACCCCTGAGTACACCATCCATCAGCAGAGGATCCTGCATAGCCCCCCTGACAAGTGAAGAGTCCGAGTCTTTCCAAGCCATCACTACAGACTAAGGAACTCATTTTTCCCCCAACCTCCCTTTTTTTATTTTTACCCAATACTCACCAGGTATAAAAGATCAGACTACCCATATCATAAGCCTTAAGGGAACAATACTAAGAATGGCTTTTACAGATTGAAAAGAGGTGATTAAGTTTCTTTACTTGTAGAAAGACTTAATAGTTTGCAAAAAGACAATAATTCATAAAAATAAAGTTATCAATAAGGAAGAGCTGTTGATGGTGTGGTATGCTGCCACACAAATGCTTAGCAGACAACATGTAATAGTGTTATAAGAAGCAGCTAGTATTTAATGCGTACCTGAAAAGAGCTAATGTTGTCAGGACAGAGAATAACAAAGACACCAGTAATGGGTTTGCAGAAGCCAGTATGCAGCTGTGACCTTCAAGGCACATGATGAAAGCTTGAATAAAAGGTTTTCATGTGCAAGCAGATTTGAAAGGTCAAGCTTATAAAGATATTTTCATACCTCAGTACAAAGTTCTGCAGGAGGTATGTCTACATGTTTCATGCAAATCAGGTCAAAAATAATGGAAGTCACACTTAAAGACACAAAGTGCCCACCGCAATGCTGAAACCTAATCTGCAATTAATTTTCTTCATGTCTGGACTAACAACATGGTGGCTGTATCTACATATGCTGTGATTACATTTCTGCTTCCAGCATAAAGAATAAAATCTGTATATACTTCTAAACTTATGTACCTGACTAATTTATACAATGCAATCTATATACAAAAAGTAAAGGTATTTCTTAACTGAGAATTTAAGATCAGTGTTACGGGCCAAAAAGTTATTTAACAGTACTGTGCAACTTCTCTGCTGACAAGAGGTTTTTTCTTACCTGCTTATTTACATCATTGGATAAAAGCTACTAAAATTTTTGAAATAAGTATTGTAATGTGACTAGCAACTGACTTCTCAAAAAGCCTGTCTGCACAGATTAAAAGCATGCTGGAGGCAGTCTCTTTGCAACAGAAACAGACTGCTTCTGCATCTTCAGAACAGTAGTAAATGCAAATCCAGTTAAAGTTCTTCCTATGACATTGACTGACTCATGGATATTGGATTTTTCTGAGACTGAAGAATGACTCAGCTCACGTGGCACTGCTGAAAATGTGGCAAATACTACATAAACTACTCAGCACAGCAAAATAAGAGCACAAGTAAAATCCAAAAGTTCAGGTTTTGGGTAAGGTTTGTTTTGTACATGCTCTGCTGCACTTGAGATATTCCAGGCAGTATTTTTCCTACAAGCTTTGACAACAATAAATATTCTCTTCCCATACCAGGACAGATCTGACACTATAGCAGCTGGTTAGCCTAAAAATGCACAAACACTTCTTAAAAAAAAAAAATCATTGTTACACTACCAATACGCAAGGTTATGTTTCCCAAACTCATAAATCTGTTTCTACCCCGTCTTCAAGGATTAGCGTCATGTGAACATCTGGTCTGAAACACATGCAGAGCAGAGACTCTGAAGACATGTATGATGCAGCACATGATTGCTGAGGTGTCTGATGATGCTAGTCTTGAAGCTCAGCCGTTCTGGCACAGGGCTTTAAGGTCACCTTTCTCTGGGTGTGTGTACTGAAGATGTAAAGCAATAAATTAGGATACCATTAGTAACATTAATGTACTGTTGCCAAAATTTCAGAGAAAAAGAAAATGCATCCAGGTTCAATATACAGGGAGAACGGGGGGGATTTACTTAGAGTAGTTTAAGAGTGTACACAAATCCTGGCCAAAGTTCCCTTAGTGAAATGACCATAGTATTTTGGCAAGGATTTGAGTTTGTTTTGAATTATTTCTTGTTCCTGTGCAGCTAGTTCTTCACTTTACATCTGGATCTTACTCAGAACTCTTCACCCACAAATATCCATGCCTTAAGAAGAGTTATCTTTGTCCCCATTTTATAGATATGAAAATAGACAGAAAAAAAGACTTCAGATATGGCTCAGAAGGACTCTATAATTCACAAATCAAAAGCAGAATCAGTGAAAAGCGGGTATTCTGCATTCTTTGCCAATGCCAAAATAGTAATGTTCAGTGGTATGTCTACTTTAAATAGGATGCACTAATAGAAGTACTAGAGATCCCTAAATTAATCAGCATTCTCAGGTCTTCTTCACTTTTAAATTTTAAATACCAAATCAGAACTGAAATACTGAATGACGACTGAAATACTGACCTGAGGAGCAACTATATTAAACTGGCATCTTGAATATGCTGACCTGAGTGATTAGAGTACCAGCACTTCTTTTTGCTCCTGCTAAGCCTGGAGCACTAACACAGCTGAGAAGGCTGGAGATGAATGTTCTTAATTCTTGTGCATCACCAGTAGAATTATTAAAATTTAAATTAATAGCCTCTGAGCAATATGTGGAAGTCAGACACGACTGAGGTCATGATCAGAAAACACTTGTCTCTTAATAATACTTGTGTAATGCTAATTTTACCACTGAACAAACTTCAAATTCCAAGGGAAGCAGGAATAAAACCACAGTGTCTTCTCAGAGGACTTACAACCAGGGACATTTTATCTATTTCAAGACACATACACACAACGCCCACCATGTTTGCACCTGTTTTACCAGGAAACATGGGAGTTCCGCAAAGTTATTTTTACATTGCTTTTGGATTGAGAGTCAATATTCTATTTACTTTCATTTTAAATAGTAGCCAAAGTTGTATTCCTCTTGCGTTACCCATTTAGGATAGGGTAACACTAACCACTAAAGCTTCAGGAAGACAGTAGCACAACTGAACAGAACCTAAACTGCCTATAAGCAGCAGTGCCAGCTGCTTATTTATCCTCTTCAGTCACACTGGGAGACAAAAATTCATTGTTATTAAAACTACCTAGATATGAACCAATCTTTGGTTCAGGTATAATGAATTTTTACCTACTCGCCAAAAAGTAAATTTAACTTTTTCCAACAACTTTCAAATATGTTATTTTCTTAAAACTGTGAGGGGTGGGAAGGAAGAATAGAATCAGAGCTAACAACAGTTTTATAGGAGCTGTGAACCGACCTTCAGATACCAAGACAAAAGAACGTTACCAACTACTTCTACTTAAACATTGTTTTAATTTTCACTTCACAGCTGTAGTCTCTAAACTCAACATTTTTGCACTGCATAACAAGCTGTTATTATAGAAAGTAAGATATTCTTAATTCAACACTGTTAGAGACTCATCATTAGATGAAGTATTACCAAGATTCTTCTGTGCCTTAAGATATACACCATCATTTGGCTTCATTATTCCTGATGTTTTCATATGGTTCATGGTATAATGGGAAGATCAAGATGTGAAAGCAGCCTTTTTAGTAACCAACTTTGAACAGCCTCCATCAAAACCCTTGTAACATTCTTCCACAAACTCCCAAAGGACGCCTTATAGCACTGAAGCAATCATTTCAGATCATAAAAAGATAAAGAATCTTAAATAGCACTTCATCTTTTCCAGTGAGAAAAATATTATTTATGCTCTTAAAATGAAGAAGACTTTGCACAAAAGGTCTGGAAAGATGTGGTTTTAGTTATACATTTCAAAACTGAGTTATACAAAACAATTCTTCTGCTTATACTGAGTAAATATATTGAAAACTTAAGAGACCAGGAAACAAATAAGCAGACTAGTCTATAACTTGGTTGTTTTCTGGAAAAGCATGTCATGAACAATTTGTCCCTTGTGACTGAAAACCGAGAGGGAGAAGAAAAGGGGCAAAGAAAATGAGTCTAAGCAAGAAACTGTAACACCCCTTTTGATCTTGCAGGCAAGCTGAAAATGAGAAAAAGTTTCGATCATTCAGTCTACAGCCTTATTTAAAGATCAAAACAAGCCCAAGCAGCTTAAATCCTCACTTCATTAAAAGAAAAGAAGCAATGCACAGTCAAAGAGTTAATTGAATGGTAAGTGGGACACTATCATTTAAGCAAAGCTGCGAGAAAGAAACATCATTATTTATAAATTGTCCTGTATTCTACAGAAGACAATCAAGGTCCACTTTACGAAAGTTTTTCCCCCCCCACAGTCTGCAATTTATTTTCAAATCTTCTATTACCACCCTGCTACCTTAAGATCTCCAGACTGAGTTTTAGTAATTTGCTAAATAAATTACCTATATGAATTAAAATCTTCCAGCCATTTAGAAACATAAACTGCATATAGTATATGATGACAAGATCTTCAGAATAAAATTTGATAAAGTTCTGCTGCAACACAAAAGTCTGTTTGAATGCATAAAGCTTTTGCTGAGACTACATAAATTCTAATCCATAACATATGTTTTCTCAGCAAGTGAATCCATTTTCCCCATTCCTTTGAAGATGCCACAGAGCTAACAAACATCCCAAACTCTGCTTAATGCAGAGGGAGGATTGTACAGGACTCCTTAAATTCAGCACTTGTTTACTGAAGGAGAACATTCAAATATCCCAGAAGGACATCAGAATCTCAATTTTTGAAGTGTCATTCACTCCTTTGAATACATTAATTTGAATATGCAGAAATCATGTTACTATGATGCATTGTATATTTGGGTAATCATTTAACATTTCCGAACAAAATGTTAAAACACTTGAGGGCACAGCAGATCAACAATAAGATTACTTAATGGCCAACTGTTTAATTTAAACTTTGTCTGCTGTCCACGTTCTAACCACTTAAAGTATCTTTTTAACACATTCTATATTACTCTGCTTTCAATTAAGTATCTTAATGTGCAACACAATTCACACATGAGCAGAGCTAATTTTGATCTTCAATTACATATGAGAGATCCAATATCAGATTGGCTGTCTCCAGAGCTAGCTGTAGGCCACTACACTTCGCAGCAAAACAGTCCAACGTCAGCGAGTCAGAAACCTTTACTGGGGGGTCTTTAGGGCAGCCGTGTATAACAGGAGAGCCAAACTGGCCTTGCAAAAGCCTCCAGCTGAGATTCTCAGTGTTATCATTAATCCCACAGCCACATTTTGAAACTAAATCCGACCAATTAGAGACAGAGGGAAAACCTGATGGAACAAACCAACAGTGTCCATAAACCATGTCTGTAAGAATTTCTCTGTCATCATGATTCAGAGAGCAAGCTACAGACTCCAGGGAATGGCAAAAACCATCAGCAACCAGCTGGTATTGTGTCTGAGAACAATCCAGATCTTTAAAAGTGCTGGTGGACAGGCTACAACTCTGAAAAACAAGAAGAAATCAGAAAATTAGAACTTACAGAAGTAATTTTAGACAAACATATATAGTACTGTTGGTTTTTTAAACAGATGATATAGTCTTAATTAAAAAAATTGTCCATGTGATTATTAATCCATAAAAGCAAAGATTTCTAGACAAGTCAAAGATGAGTTCTGCATGATTATCTTCCAATATAAAAATTCTACACATTTTTATTTTAACACTTAAATAAGCACTCACTATAGTAGATACCTAAAGAAAGATTAACAAGTACAAATACAGTATTAACAAAAGTCTGAAAAAGATGTCGTTAGGACCAAGTGCTTGAAAAAGGCCCCTTTGTTTTATATTAGGCAGCAAAAATGCAACATTCACTAATCTAGAAAAGACAAGTGTTTAACTGTAGCAGTGTTTCTACATAAACTCTTGTTTCTTAAGTATATTAAGCAGCTTTAAAAAAAACCTTCGTCTTATATACCTTGTGTCTTATGTACGAAGCCAAGTGAGTTTCTGTACAGCCACCTCCTAACAATGCCAGAGGTTCCTTGACTGTTAACTGTAACACATGTTCTGCAGTTTCACAGGCACGCTGAAAACCATACGAATTTGTTGTTAGACATACCTTGATTAATAAGATTTACCCCTATTGAGACCTACCAGAATAAAATTTTCAGTAGTTTCTGGAACAGACTTCATAAACTTGAATTGTGTGGATACAAAACCACTGAGTGATTTCCAAACCCATGTTTACTTAATGAGAAATTGTCTTAATTTGCCCATGCTCAGTATGGAAAAGCAGAAATTAAAAAAAAAACCTGTATTTTATTCCTTCTTTTTGCAAAACAGGGTTGTATCTAAGAAGTCAGTATCAATAACATTTCTAGAGGAACTATTCAATGCAAAACTATGCTTGACTACCATTGCAGGTATTGCTGCTGGCCTTTTGCTGGGGAATTTTTTCCTCTATGGTCTCAGAAACCAAGTAACGAGAATGAAAATGTTTATCCAGCACTGGCCTCAAGAACAGGTGAAAAATGGTTCTGTCTCTAAACACCTTCCCATGAACACAAGTACTTCAAGGATTTTGAAATTCTGGATACAAGGGTGTTTCTGAATTGCTTTCTTAAACTTACATACCTGAACTCCGACTAAGCTCTATTTATGTACTGAAAAATCACTTTTCTAAACTCACTGTAACTATATTTCTCATTATCTTTTCATTAAAAACATGACTTTTCAAGAAAGATTTCAAGAGAATTTGCCTACCTTCAATTCATCCCATGCTGTTTCATTTCTATTACAGAGTATCAGGCTGCAGACAACTGTGTCATTAGGAATTAAACGCACAAAATGTTTTGAAGCAAAACTCTCAGTGCGCACATCTTTCAAACTGCCATAACAACTGGGAGACAATGAATGTACAGAAGCTATAGGCTTTGAACCTGTCCAATTAAAAAGAGTAGAAAACAATATGTACAACTGTCATCAGAAGAGCTCTCTCTTGCATTTCATAAGGCATGAACGTTTCTCTTCTTGGCTTTTAAAATTATATATATTATTCAATACCTAACATTTCAATCTACACAGGAAATTGCAAACAGAAACGAACATGTTTTCAAAGTGCAAGACTTAGTGATATTTTAAGATAAAAAAAGTAATTGCTTTATTCTTATTAAACAAGAGTTTGAAAGTAATCTACATTTGCAACCAGTTACTGTGAATGGATATTCCTCATGCAGCAATCAGTAATCTCATGTGCAGTATGTCATCATTAGAACCTGTAAAAGACCAATCTTGCCTTGAAGAATGGTTTTCAGACAAGAAAAGAACAACTCTTGCTCAGCTGCTAAGGTAGGATACAGACAGACATAAGAGAATTCTTACTTTGCAATGACACCAACCTAGATGGGTTTTCATTAAGAGAGGAACATTAAGGCCAATCATTTAGTACAGAAAACTTGCTTGTTACCTGTCATCCGACTCAGTGGTTCCATAGGAGATAGCCCAGCTCTGTCCACAGCCATGATGTGGTTCTCTTTCAGATACTGTTTCAAGCATGGATGGATAACTTTCTGGCACACTACAAGGCCGACCTCATCATTAACCAGCTGCTTTCCTACATTAAGCAACTCATTCAGCTCTGACACTTCTAGAGAAATTCCATGATGGACTGTTATAGTTCCTTCTCCAGGGTTGAAGAGGTCTCCCGACATGGACACACAGAAAAGTGCTACCTTTATCATGTTTGAACAAGTTCTTTTGACAGCAAGTGGTTTTGCCAACTGAATTTCTGGTGTTTCTATCAGTAGTCCAGGAAGAACCGTAGAGTCCACAACTCTTCTACCTTTCACAGGTATTATTATACACTTTCCTAAAACAGCATTAGTCTCAGCATGACATGGAACAGTAAACATAAAAGCCTTTAAAATCAAGGTGGTGAGATGATCAACTTCTGGTTTATTAAGCATACAAGCAGGTTTGCTTGTTAATACGCTACGTACCAAACAAAGAAGAATCTCAAGACTGCTAAAATCCACAGACACTCGGCAACCACAGGCCTCAGATTTGAGGTAGTCCATACATAAACTCAAAAGATGCTTGCTTATTTTAATGACAGTGCAAGACTCAATATTTAGGCTTTTAAATTTTTCAATCAAACTACAGCAAAGAATGGCAGTAAATAAGCCACAGTCACTGAAGCGGGATATATGGTTCTGTACAGAGGCCATCAAAACACTTAATGCAGGATGACTGACAGAAATAGAACTGAGTATGGCTGAAGATTGCGAAGTTGTACAAACATAGCCTCCCACACCATTGTGGAGCATTTTGAGCCTACCAGCAGGACCATAGCAAGATTTGAATATTCCACTTAGCAGAGACAGTGACTGACTAACTGTCTCTTTAGTTAAAGGTTCACTAATAAATAAAGGAGGCTTTTTAGCTTCAAGACGAGACATTTTCAAAGTAAGATTTTAATTCTGTCCAACAAAACATATTTCATTTTTACTTGGATCTATAATTCGCAGCCAAGGACTATTGTTTTAAATGTGAAACGGTACATACACTACAATAAAGACAATTCTGTGACTGCTCATCATCTGTCTCTTAAAATAAGGATTAAATCCTAGTGTAAACTTGGTACATAATGACAGCAGTAAGCTATTTCATTCACGATGATCTTCCTTTTTAGCTTCTGAATGTGATCGAACAGATTTTTTTGCAACAAAGTTTACGAGCATGCTTCCAAAATGGACACCTATAAGTGACAGTCCTGCCACAAGGAGAAAGTTCTTTCTGCTCCAGCTATCTCTCCTCATGTCTTCTTCTGGCAACACTCACAGATGAAAAGCTTCATATTGTATACCTACAATAAAAACCATAAAGGCATTAGGATAATCTTATGACAACATTGCATAGCTTGAACTGCTATTTTATTTTTCACAAAAAACTCACATAAGGACAAATACCAAACTATAATGCTTTTTAATTGAGAAAACCTATTATATACACTACAAGCACACAAATTACACACATTTGTTAATAACTTCAATTCTGACCACCATTTTATATACTATACGTCTATAAGTAACAGGCAACAATAAACTGCACTTAACTGTATGAATGTCAAAACTGTAGTAATGTTCAGCTGTTTTTACTTGAGAACAAAAGAACAGAACTACTCAGCACTGCTTCCCAGGCAACCACTTCAGAAATAGAAGCTTTTAATGTTCAAACAACTTTAAGAAACCTCTGCCTCTGAAAGAAATGTTTCTTACTTCAAGATGCCAAAGATATACAATTTTTTTCAGTTCTTAAACACTTCAAAACTTAAAGGGATATTTATTCAAATTTCTATATAAATGTTCATTATTTAGACTTCTCTCATCTTTGAGTTTCTTTTCTATTGTAATCACCACCCCTACTAACACTGCCGAATGCATTACTACATAAAGTCACACATTTCTGGGCAGTTTTCAACCTGAAAGGAAACTTCTGCAGACCCAGTCACATGAGTTTGACTATTGCCCCAAAGTTATTAGAGTTTGTTTTTAAGTACCTTTAAGATCTAGAATACCATCGCTTAATTGATCCTATCACATGGGATTTAATAACAGTTTGAGATATATGATGCATTTTTGGGTTCACATAACTAACAGATTAACTCAGGTGCAAAGAACAGAACGTGGAAGACTACAGTCAGAGAAGCAAAACTGCATCTGTTAGAAAATTCTCATTTGACTCATCTCCTGCCTCAAAGATACAGATACAACTTATTAGGCAACTTACCCATGATACATAGCACTAATGCTATTTTTCTTTATTTCTGTGATCATTTTGCATCACATATGCCACAATCCCAGGTTCTGGAACAAAGTCCTCTGTCTTCACTTGGAAAATAGGACTGGACTTGATGTGAAACCACCCCCAGTGCACCAGCCCAAGGCTAGTTCCCATAACAATCAGAACTTTGTAGTCCTTCCAGATGGTTTTAAGACCCATTGCAAAATGGCATCTACCTAGGTAAAGATAATTTATTATTTTAAATATATTCTAGAAATCCTTTTTTTTACCCTATAATAGCACAGAACAGATGAACCTGAATGTTAATATCTTGAATTACAGAGCAACAGATGATTAAAACACAAAGTGACAAAAGAGAGTCTTACTTTGTGAACTTCAAAAAAAAGGCTATTAAAATAACCTAAATTCAGACATCTTGAAACGTTAATTGCTGCATTTGCTTCAAGCTTTGGCATGCTAAACCTTAAAGCTTTGTTAGTTTGTTATGTTTATCTAATTAGAAACATTACTGCTTCAGATGGTAAATATTTGAAGTCTAAAAAAAAGCAGTTTCAAAACACACTTTTTCCACTCCCCCTTAATAAAATTCAATGACTAACCGAGCTCCTAACAGAATATGGAACTCAGCTTGCAGGCCGAACAAGCTGCAACACTTCTGACATCACCTTACATTGTCCAGAGTAGCAGCTATGCCCGACTACCTTAGCCCTCTTTGCCCTTGATCTTCAGAAAGTACAAAGTGTACCAGCTCAAGCATAATAAATACGGCCTTGCCTGAAAAAATTGCATAACCGTCTACTCTCTATAGGACTTTATTAAAGAATTACCAACTAGAACGAGAGGTATGTACATTCAGGTTTTGTATCAAAGTAACTTCTTGGTTTAAACAGCTACAAAGGTACAACTCTGACAGTAAGCGTTCCTGTGCCTGCCATCCACCTGACAGAAGTAACGTGTCCTACTGCTAACCCCCCCCCATCACGCTGGGGAGATTTCGCGGCTTCACACCGCACAAGGCAAAGCCGTCTCCAAAGTCACAGCGGTCGGCCGGTATGCGTGAGGCAGCCACGCTCCGGCTGTAAGCCGCTGAGGAGACACCGAAGCCAGAGGCCGCGGCACGGCCCAAGGAGCCCGCCCTCCAGCCCAGGGACCCCTCCGCCTTC